TAAGACTCAAAGTTTAGTGACTCAGCCGAGTAAAGACGTCTCGAGAAAAAAAATATTTAAAAATGATTATCTGAATGTTTCATTAGCATTTAAATAACCGTGATATCGTTTCGAAACGTCTGAGATTTCTTTCAACAAATCATTGACGGAGAAACTTGGTCATTTCCGCTCTGTTCTCAGTTCACTATAGTTCTCCTGTCCAAGAGTACCGAGTACCGTGATAATTATACACCTCGTTGTATTATTTTATCCTTTGCTCTCTATCTCTATCTCTGTTTCTATTTAGCACTACTCGATTTATTTAACTTACTTATCGATTTTCCTTTCAACATTTTCTCGTAATTGCTATTTACAATCAATACAACGCCATAATCAATTCTCACTCTATTCAATTTTTATTTTTTTCTTGCCAAACTATTTTTATTAATTACTATTCATTTATTGTTATCATTATCTATTCTATGATGTGATTTATCTCACATTTTATTTTTTTATTAGTGATACTTAAATATCGTATGACGCACGGGTTCAAGTGACGCTCCAAAAGTTATTGCACAAATAAAATTGTCTACCGTGAAATTAAATTTTATTGTTCAAATCGTATTTCTTAAAACAAAATTCAAGTAAACGATTTCATCATTTGTTTATTTTCCGGACTTTGAATAAAATAATTGTTGCTGTTTTTTTTTTTTAATACAATTACTGCCAGATTAGCGAATATAAACGTGTGTGACAATAATAAAAAAAAAATAATAATAATATTAAGCAAATATAATTGAAGGATGCCGAGTTATTTGGCCACAGTTACGATGGAAACATGAAGACCAAACAGGATCGTTCATCTGATCAACAATATTGTACATTAACCATCTATAAATGACGTAAGTCCCTTTTGACAAAATTTACATACACATTTCATATACGTATACATGATACATGTAAATATATATATTAAGAGTAATAATAATAATGTGTAAGGTTGGTATAATCATGAATGAGCTGACGTAATAATGATCGTCAATTAGGATCCCCGTAATCGGATCGTAAGTTACTTAACAGCAGTAACTGTTCAAAAGTATATAAATATGTTTTATGTGTAATATATTTATTGAAAATTTTTAAATATATATGAGTGTAATAATTAACAATTAGCGTTTCGTTAATCGATATGTTTTTGAATTAATTATTAATTTAATATGGAAATATTTATTATTATTTATTTAAATTTTATTTTTGATTTTTGGACAACTTTGACGTTTAATTGACAAGGTAAATGCTGTCGTTATTTATTTGCTTTGTCGAGAAACAAAGACACTCTTTGTAAACTGAGCACGTACTCGGGAGAAACGGATAAGAATAAGAAGTTTTAGCTGTGAGGAGTCCTGAGTTGAGAGTACGCCGAAAATATTAATATTGGAGAAAATTTTTTTATTTTATTTCTTTTCTCTCAGACTTGGAAATTTTTTTGGATTTGGATTTTTTGATGTGGAGTATGTATATTAGGCTTTACTTTCGTTGAAGAGAAAAGTGAAATTATTAAAATTTGTGGAAAATGTTACACTAGAATGTGGATATCTGTAAATTGACACACATATTTTTTGTGCAATAGAAATGAAACGGCGTAAAGAAAGGGATCTATCTAATGTGGGCTGATAGGCGAATGGTTTAAAAAACAATTGTTTCTCGGTACTTTTTATTGACTTATTCGTAAACTATGTCACTAGATTAGTCACAACAAAATACAAAGTAATTTAATTTAAAAAAATTAATCTTGTCAGAATAATTAATTTGGTTGAACAGAAAAAAATTTGAACCAAAAGAATAATTTTTAAATTTATAAAAAAAAATTAAACTGTTTAAAAAAACGAATAAATTAGTAATAGATTTGATTCTAAAAAAATTTCTAAAAAAATCAGCCATCCCACAAACTAATAACCGAGTAAAATATCTATTTCTCACCAACGTGCAAATTAAAACATTAAAAAGCACCTGACAGCTCAATTACAAAATTACTTAATATATCCGAAAAGCGTGAGACCAGCTCCGCGATAATTCACAGTTTTTTTTATTCTACAATATTAAGTTACCTATCACTGTAAAAACTAATAATCGCTCGTAAATACTTGAATAAATATTTATAGTTCTGACTAATAACTACTATTCACAAACAACTGAAAAAACTTTAATAAACTAGCATTAAACTATGACAAAAAAAAAGTCATTTCTAACTGAAACTCTAACACTACACGCAATTGATATCATAAAAAAAAAAATTAATTACATAAAAAATAAAAAGCTGCTACTAATAAAATCTTACATGATAAAAATAATTATATTACCTAAATAAATACAAGAGATTTAAAATGGCAATCAGCCAAAGTGAAAGCCCATAAAATACATACATACATACATATAAATAAATAAATATATAATAAGTATATATGTATATATTTCTACTCTCGGCTGATCTATTTCTCACGATGGGTTTTGGAACGATTAAAATTTTAAATACAAACCCGTAAAAATTAGACGAGAATTCGCATCTGAGTGTGTGTTTGCCGACCCAATGCATAACAACCTGGCTTGTAGGTTTATTTAATTTAAAATTAACAATACATAACATATATGTATATGCATTTAGGGATAAAGCATGCATTAAGTATTATATATAAATATATATATAAAATAAGATAAAGTCTGGGTAATAGTGGCGTTGGCGGTGCCCAATGAATATCTCCACGCTTGCACGCGGATATCGTGAGCAACGATCAATTCCGGAGCACTTTCATTTCTCTCTTACTGTTCTCTGACACAATCTTGTCCGTGGTAATATAAGCATATGCTGCAGTAATTCAACTATGCCCCTATTCTGCACCGGTTACTTATTCTTGCTAGACTATTGAACGAAATAAAGAAAAAGTCCTAGTCAAAATAAGAAAAAAATTTGCAAGAATTCAAATTTAAATTTATTGTCTATAAAAATTTCTACTTGCTCTTATTAACTATTTTTTTATGATTGGAAAAAATATAAAAATTGTCAGCAGCTGATTTTTCAAATTCGACGGATTAGTAATTGAAGATTTGTTAAGAATAGCAAGGATTGAAAATTAAAGAGTAATGCAATACAAGTATGGTAAAGAGAGTTTGGTTCTTATTCAGCAGTTATATTACTGGATTATGGATGGTGTATACAGTGGCATGATACTGTTACACTTTCCTTGATAAACTGACGACAAGCCGTGGCTCTCCTAAAACGGCATATATGTAATGTAATGCAATCGAATATAATGATAATATAACAAGACGTCGGGCAGCTTGAGTACTCTCATTTTCAATACCTACACAAGTTAATATAATACAACTTAAGGCTTGTTGCTTCTTGGTTTATTTTAATTTCCGATATTATTTTATTTTCTTGGTATTATAATAAAGACAAGAGCTACGGTTCGCGTAACTTTAACTGACCGTAACGATCTTTAGATCCATGACATTATTCATTTTTTTTATTTATCATTTTTATGTTTATTGACGTTTACATGCCTCGGTTACATACTTTGTGCTTCCGCGTTATAAAATTGACAATTTTCATCCAATTTAGTCTACAACTTGATTAATATTATTATTGTTGGTGTTATTACTATCATTAACTTGATATAGAGAGCTATTTTTTTAAAAAATTTTGAATTTTTTTTGTCATATAATTTTCCAAATATTAAAAATTTGATAATTAAGACAATTATGAAACAGCGTATGAGTCTCGTGTTATTAAACAAAATTATGACAATAATAATAATGAGCATTCGTCTAATTAATTAAATAAAATAATTCAAGAGTCGTAAAATCTATTGTTTAAATTTTTAATTTCATTGTTAGAATGGAATCAGGAGGATTCTCGCATTAAAAGACACCTAAATAAATAAATGGATGATGAAAAAGAATATCAGTGAATAAAATATTTAATTATTTAGTGGTAACGACTCGACGATCTAATCTTGCAGCGCTTTCACGCGTAGCACAATTCTTGCTGTTAATTATTATTTAGATTCACTGACGGCCTGACGGGTTTCCTTCCGCCTTTAACTCTCTACTTCCTATATTTACCTTACATTATATATATCTTCCTTTACAACTAAAGTTCCGTAATAGTTGTATTTTTTTAATGTGTTATTAATTGCATAGCGAAAAAATTACTCGAGTCAGGAATCATTTCTGGTGAATCATTTTGACGTTACTCGAGTTTTCATCTAAAGATTCCTCGTTTTAAAAAATTTATCGGTACAGTAGACTTATGTTTGAATCGTTCTATACCAAATGACCAAATTTTATAAATTGTATTTTTTTTTATACATCAAAAGCTGCTTATCTGTAAATTTTTAACGCTCAATCTCCAAAAATTTTTAAGATATGAATAAAATCTTAAAAAATCAATTTTATAGTCTAGTCTCCATACAATAAAATGTACATAATTCAGCTAAAATCAAAAATATTATTTTTTTACAATTTCTGAGTTAGTATGGAACGACATGTTTATGTTTACCAAATATCAGCAATCAAACACCGTATATGGTACGCTAAACACATCCTGTACTATTTTGTACATTATAGAAAACACCCTTCTAAAAATAAACGACATTTGGAATTTTCTCCATTATACTGCGTCAGTTAGGGCCTCGATGTTGGCCGAGCGGTTCAATGCGTTGGTCCGTTCGTACAATTCATGTGGCAAGGCGCGGATTCGATCCCCAGCGAGTCCAAAGATTTTTCACATTTGTTGATATCTTTCGATTCTCTGAGGTTCGCTCCAGCACCGCCTAGGTTAAGGCAAGTTCCTAACCAACACAGCTACCCACCACACAATCTACCAACGGCCGAATGCGAAAAATACCCAGAGCCAAAAGAATAATAATAATAATAATACTGCATCAGTTTGTTAGACTCAACTGTCCATCGCTCATCAAAGCAACCATTTTTGTGATTTGAGTTATAAAAAAAAGTGATAAAAAATGTACAAAGAAGCAATAATTTGTTTAGTCGGTACTTTTTGTATTTTGGTAAGTCAAAAAAATTATATTCAATAAATAATTAAATTCTTTTGAGGAGATTTAATCGCTGCCTTAAGTCAAGTAAAGTATAATAATTAACAAAAAAAATTTATTTAATGAATTCAAACTAATTTTAACAAGTAAAAGAAAAATTCTATTGAAAAAAAAAAAAAAAAAATGTTTATCGTAAAATTAGCACCTGGGCCTCAAGGGTACGACAATCAACCCAAGAAAAAAAATTTTATGAATATTACAATAATTAATTTTATAGTCATGGTATTCAACATACTCTGTAGTTATTAAAAATTTAACGATATTTATCAATTGGCTAGGTACGTGCACGTATACTTGTTAACAAGTAAGTGTGTATTGTGTGTAAGTTAGGGATAAAAAAAATGCTGAATACAATTTTAGAGAACGCCGACAGTATTCTTGTACACGTAGCACGCCAAAAGTTATATAGTACTAGCGGACCCGACAGACGCTGTCCTGTATATACACATGTCTTGAATTGGAAAATTTTAAACTTTTTTTAAATAAGCTATAACAGTTTGGACCGTTTAGATAAAAATTTTTATTAAAACGCTATTGCAATATAATATTTAAATTAGCACGGGATTTATTTTCATAGAATAACACAAAATTTTCCTGCATCTAATTGCAGCGCTTACTATCGGGACACACTAGAATTAAAATGAAATATTTTTGAATATTCGACACTGCGGTCGCAGCGCTATCTGTCGGATCCAATGTAAAACATTCTAAGATCAACAACAATTTGTAAATTAAAAATAAATTGATTAATTAATACATAAAGACTAGTATTCTCGTGCACTCAGCTAATACAAATTACGATTTAAACAACCAGAAAATCCAAATTTTGTTATTATATAATATTTACTATTTGATATCAGCAGTGATTAAAGCTCCTCAATAATCAATGGTTAATCATCGCATTATGATTTTTCAAAATCATTTTATCAATTTTACTTAATTACAGCAAATAGTTGATTCGCATCCTTCAATTGCATCAACTAGTTTCGATGCAAAAAAAGGAAATCAGGATATAAAATATACTGTTTATCCTGAGAGTCATGGTGACTCAAAATTTTGTTTTAAACTATCAAAAATGGCAGACAAGTCGTATATGCCATCAGTGGAATTAATAATTCATAGCCTTTTACCATTTGTAAGTTTTTAATAATCATTCACTTCTGTATCATGATCATCTAAACATTTATTTTCTATTCACAGAATCAAACAGAAAGATCTTCTGAAATTTTGGTACAGAAAGAATCCTTTCTTTTCATAGTAGAGCCATCGCTTTCAGAAAATGCAAGAGAAGCATTGAGATTGCTCCAATTAAGCTCAAACTTTTTCATATTTTATGTGTTTCTATTTTTAGCCACAATAAATATGGTGGGTTTTTTTATTTTGTACTGTGTGAGCAATCTGCATTATTTCTATATATGGAAGTTCATAAATAAAACCTCCCAAAATCTTAAGGAAAGTTACAAAGAAAAGATAAAATTAGTACTTTGTTGGCTACTCTCTACTGCTAGTTGGATTTTGGTAAGTCGAAAAATATACTCATACGATATACTCAAAAATAGTTCTGAGGTTTTTTTTTTTGTTTCTAAAATATAATTCTGTTCAATTACAGCTCGTATTTATTACATATACAATGTGCAATCTTATTTATTTCGGAAAATTCGATTTCTTCTATGAACAAAACGTTCGCTTTGATGTTGATCAAGAATCAACATTATGTTTAACGCCACAGCAATTCGCGGAAAAATTGGCTACAATTTTATCTGAAAAGAGAATAAATGGCGCTGCAAACTTCGTAAGTTTTCAAAATAATTACCATTAGAAGAAAAAATTATTTAAAATATCTAATAATTTTTAATTCTTTACAGAATCAATCCGATGAATTTGTCCAAGATTCCCAACAAGAAGAACAAAATATTATGATTATAAGGTACTGGGATTCATTTTCTATATTTGACAGTAATTTTTGGATAAAATTGATAGTCTACTTGCTATTTTCTGGAGAATACGTACTGCTAAAGATCTTTATTGTAATCCCCACACTTATAGTGATGACCATCGCGCTCATGATTTATTACACAAAGGTTATGGTAAAATCAATTTATATGTTACTGAATCGGATTTTTGACTTGAAAAAAGAACTTGATTCTAAAGTTATAGTTACACCAGTATTAACTCTAGAATCTAATCTCAAGGGTAGTGTGACTTTAGAGTTATGCACAGAAAAAAAGTGATTATCATTTTTTATAACAGCAATGCAACTTTCGGCTCAATAATATAATAAGTGCCTTAACACAGTAAGTGTGTAGGATTTAATACATCAGAAAGAAATTCAGAATCACTTTTTTTCTGTATAGATAAAAATTTTTTGTACAATTTCTTGACCGAACATAATTCTCAATAAAAAGGTCTTGTAACATTACTCTGTTTTTATTTATTAACCAGCTTGTTAAAATTTTTTTATATTAACCATCATTCAGTGCAGCAAGATCGTAGGTAAAAAGTACCCCCACCCAGCATTATGCACCGTGATATTTTGCGTAGAGAAGGGGAACTTTTTACCCACGATCTGGCTGCACTGCGGCATCATCTCACTTCTACTAATTTCTTAGTAGGATTTCCGATGTAATGATACCGTGTTACTGATGACGATTGTTATGAAAAGATGACGATATAACTGTACCGCTGGCGAGAAATCAGCTGCTGACAATTCCATAAATTACTTACCCAATACAAGTAGTTTCTATTCTTCGGCAATTAGAAATTTACGCATAACCAAATTAAAAATCACGGCGTTATTTATTACAGAACATGTTATGTTTGATTTTAAAAATCACTAAGAGAAATCTCTCGTTATAATCTTTTTTTTTCTTATTCATGAATAAAGAAGCTTCCGCAAACTTCAGTTTAAAAATAAATTTTTATGTATTTCTATATATATTGTAAATTAAAATAATCATCATCATTATTTCATTTTTAAACAATACATCACAACTTTTTGAAAAGAAAATTACATTTTTTAACAGTTAAAAAATTTTCTACTTTCAATTAAACTTTTTTTTTTGTGCAGTTCAAGTTTTTTTCCCCTTGAGCCAACTTAATTTTTTTATCGCTATACTGATCAATTTGCAATTAAAATCAGTATTTTTTTTAACTACCGTAAATTTGAATTAATGAAATAAAATGTGTAGACAACTATCAATCATCGAATACTTAAATTTAATAAGTTAATTAAATACATATCATAACTGTTATGTACTCTTCATATTTCAACATAATAAATATAAAGCAAATTAATTAAAATAAGATAACTATTTAACGATCGAGATAGTTGATACAAATTGACGAAATATCAATTACAGCATGTTAATTTCCTAAGATACAAGTTTTGATCAATAAGAGCTCCACCAACTAATGTTAAGCTAAAAGTTAAAAGTTTTAAATAAATGATTGGTATTAGTATTGGTATTACTCATTAATACTAATCACCGTAACATTGATACCGATCAGCGTGTTGATCAACGTACTCTGTAGTTGCATAAAAGTCAATCGATTTTATAAATCTAACTCGCCGTCGTCATTGCCATTTATTAAACAACTTCCCAATTAAACGAAAAAAAATTATTTCCTTCATATGTAAATCTATCGCAATATCACTAATGCCCATAATAATAAAAAACATAAATATATAAATAATTAAAATAAAGCATGTATGTAGTAATTTCAAATTAGTGAAGCTAAAATAAAAATCAACATTGCTATCTGTACCGTCTCACTTTACATTACTTGTGAATCGAGAGTACAAATAACGATTACAAAATCCAAGAATCGGTTTAGTTATTCTATTCGACGATTCGATTCCTCGAGCCTCGAAAGTTCTATTTTATTGACTCAAAACGACATAACATCCAGTTGGACATCGATATCGACATCCATAATGTCATTCACCGTTAATTGCATTTACTCGCAGTTCCATGGTAAATTATACTAACATTAAACAGCTGAGTATACAAGGAGAATCGAATTAAAGACACTCGTCGTAGTATTTTATTTAGAAACTTTTTGCAAGAGATTACTAAAGAAGCGAATTGTCTAATTGATATTTTATTGGGCTAACTTTAGTTTTTTTTCATGAGAGAGTAGAGCCCGAAGCAAAAAACTATGATGAAAAATATGTGAATTAAATGAAAATAAATATAAAAAGTAAACAAGTGAATGAATGTAAAAAAATATAAGTATCAGGGACACATAAACGAGAAAACTCGTTGATCTAGCCTGCTGACTACGTATCAATTTTATTTGGTTAATTGTGAGATGAAAAAGTTCACGACAACAGCCTCGGGGAATAAAATCCACGCCCGTTTGTATAACCAAGGTCGCGATTAAACCAGTGACTGATTCGACGGTCGAGTTGTGACACCAAAGTCGTATGTATTATTGTTGCAAAAGATTCGCACGAGTTCGAAATTGTTTGCACTAATGGAAACTCATTCCAGTCGCTAATATCTTTCACTAATTATCGAGTGGCCTACATAGTTTATAAATTACTTGCTATTGATTTTTTTTTACGGCTGTTCTAAGCTTTTATCCTGTTTTACAGATTTGCGGTTTTTCATTTTTGTCAAAATTTTTACTTTTGTTTTGTATACGGAAAAAAGTAAACTAAAAAAATTACAATTTATAATGCTTCGCGATGAAAATTGGAAAAATTACAGTTTTAGATTGTAATTATTACAGATTTTATAAGAACTACATCGTAGAATGTAATATTTACACTAAAAGTTCTGAAAATTATATTCAAAAATTGAATCTAGAAAAATGCTATTTCAAACTGTAATTTTTCTAGTTTTGATTATGACGGTAATGATTCTAATAATTACGACTTTAATTATTCCTGTTTTCTTTTTTCGTGTAAGTGTAAATGTTTTGAATTTGAATTTTGACAAAAAATTGAACACTTGTTCTATAGAAAATTCAATTTTCTACAAAAAAAGTTTCTTATAAATTTTCTGTATCTCTAATATTTTTTTGGAAATTTAATTATAAACTTTGGCATTGGAATCTATGATTTATCGCTATTAATTAATCGAATAATAAAAGTAATTATTTTGTCTCAACAGTTCCGCTCGCTCCTTAATATAACATGATCACGGGATTTTTCTCCGGCGTGAGCAATTGAGACTTTAAAAGCTGATAAATTGCAGGATAAACTGGAGCAAGTGTGATGGATAATAGAGAAGGCGGCGTAATTCTTAAGTTTAAGTACTGTGGGATCAAGGCACACGAAAGGCCGCTGGCACATAACACGATTTATTTAATATATATTTATATACATAGAAACATTGTATATGTATATGTTTACATACATATATATTTGTAACTATCTTTATATATGGGGAGAAAAATTTACTTTCGATCGTAATAGTTAGCATTGAGCTGGTTCACTCACGTGGAGCTCCGCGTGAGGGTTGGAAAGGTTGTCACTAAAAAAATTCGTTTTTTTTATTTTCTATCTTAATTAAATTAAAATCTCTGTTAATGATTTTATTGATTCAGTTCCTTAAACAGTTATAAAGAAAAAAATTATATAAAAAATAAATTTTTCTCTGTATAAATATAATGAACATTAACTTAAATTATTCATGTCCTTTCCTCAAGCATTCGTTACCCGTAACCCGTAACTCGTTTCATAATAACAAACGTCCCAATAATAACGGCCCGAGTTGAGAAAAAAATTAATTAAATGTATTTTAAATTTTAAAATCAGATAACTTTTAGGTCTTAAATATAAAGAATAAATTCACCGCTTAAATTCAGTAATTGGCTTCCGCGATTTCAAGTTTTATTCAACGTGCAAGTTAAATACATTTTTTATTTAAGGACTTTAAGCTTCACAATCAAATCAAAACTTCTATAAGTGTCTTACAATTTTATATTTTTGGATATTCTTCTTAATATTTCTTAAATAATTTATCAACAATTTAAAAAATAATTTTAACCATTAACAAATATTTTTTTAATACAAATGAATCCTTCTATCAGTGTAATTAAAAAATTTTTCAAAATTATTTTCCTGATTCAAGAATTTTTCTCTTGATTAAAGATTATTTTTTCAGTGCATTAAAAAATTATCAAAAAAATTTTACTTTAAAAAAATTCATAAGAATTTATTTCTCGGATTGAGCGAACTAATCCATGCAAAGGAGGTTTTATCGTCAGACTATATTCCTAGTCTCACAGTCCAAGTAAAGGGTCCCCTCTCTTTATTTCTCTTTCCGTTATCAAGACATCGCGATTCATTGAATATTTCTATTACACATACTACAGAGCCCATTGCTCAGTAGACTAAAAAGTAAAAACCATAACAATAAAAACAATAGTAACAAGGAGAAATATAAAGTTACATTTATATATAAGAAATATAAACAAAACTGCTCCACGTATGTTCAAGATCGTACACAGTATGGGCGGATCAAACCGTTCGATCTTTTAATCGTAACTTGCGGCAAGCAATCCTGCACTGCGCGGGTACCAAAGCAAATCTATTTTTATTGTCTCAGAGATAGCGTGTGTGCCTCCTTTTCTGTATTTATAGCCACACAGGGCGAAAGAGAGGGCCAACTAAGACAACTACCCAAAAATCAAGCCCCTAGACCATTGCCCATGGCCCATAACCTGTAGAATTCATCGAGGGAAGCTTCTTTGATGCTACTAAAGACGAAGGAGAATTAAACTAGTCATAGTTTTTTATTTATCCCAACTTTGGGGTATTTCTTTAAAAATCTTGGAATTTTTATAATAAAAATTCTTTTTTTTTTAATCATAGCGTTTTATTTATTTAAAATTTGAATGATTCTTTATTAAGATTTGAAATTTTTATTGCAAAAAATCATTTTTTAACATATTGAGCTATATTTATTTATTTATGATAATTTTCTAATTTTTGAAACAAAAAATAATTATTTTTTAAATTATAAAGACGTAATTGTTCAAAATTTGGAGTATTATTTTCAAAATCTTGGAATTTTTATAATAAAAAAATCTTTTTTGAAGTTATAGCATTTTATTTATTTAAAATTTAAAAGATTCTTTACTAATATTTCAAATTTTTATTGCAAAAAATCATTTTTTAAGATATTGAGTCTTATTTACTTATTTATCATAAGTTTTTAATTTTTGAAACAAAAAATAATTTTTTTTCAAACTAAAGTGATAAATTTATTCAAATTTTTTT